TGTGTGTGTGTGTGCATATGAATCCAACTCTACTAATAATTCCCCTGGAGCATCAAACTTTCTGTGAATCTAAAAAATATTTTTTTTAAATTTTGATACTATATACATATTGACAAAATTATGGTCAGGTTACTTTAATGCATACATGACAACTCTGCTAAATACTCTATCATTTTCTTTAAATATATGTTTATATCAATGGGCTATTCATAGCATTCTTCATCATCTCATGCCCTGATGGTCCTGGTTACATCATAAACTATCCTGCTGTATCAGATATTTAATAAATGTTTAGCTTTATTCTGATTAAATATATGTTTACTATTTAAATATTAATTTGAATACTCAAGTTGCTTTTGAACAATAACTTTTATTAGAAATCCTGTTACTTTCTAATGATTAACATAAATAATAAATATTATAATTTTATCCTATAACTAGATAAAATATTAATTCATTTTTTATCCATTTTTAAAGTTTAATTTATTTTTATTTTCTGTGTATGAGAATTTTGCCTACTTTCATGTGAGTACACCCATGTTGGACAATTACTATCAGATTCCCTGGAACTTGAGTTATGGACAGTTGCTATTTGCCATGTGGGTGTTAGAATTCCAAACCGGTTCCTCTGCAAGAGCAGTCAGTGCTCTTAACTAATGAGTCATCTCTCCAGCCCCCAATAATTTTATTAATATATTTGATAATATTTTATTTGCTCTTGGATAATTTTATACAATGTATTTAATATGAAACTTACTTGGGGAAGGGATGCTGGAGAAATGGCTCCACCTGTTGCCAAAAGAAGTTTCTTTGATGAATGGTGTCCTGCATACTTATCTGTACATACAAGAATTCTCACTTATAATGCTCTAAGAATTTTCATTTATCTAGAGAAATGACAGAGATATGGTTTTCTCTAATAGTTATGACCTCTCCAGCCATGTATAGCTGGCTACAACTGCAGTGCCACCCATGAGTTCACTCCCACTGAGATGGCTTTAAATCCTATTAGGCAGTTTTGATTACCCCTCAAGTAACACTGACACTACTGCATCAGTGGAGGTAGTTTGCTGTGCCAGTCATTATGTTTATTCAACTTTAGGACTGGTTTGGACCCATGATTGATTATCTTCTAGAACTATAAGAGCTATTTTTCAGGGAAAAGACTTCCAGGTCACTTCCAGCTCAGGAGAGGGGAATGGGGGAGTTGGGTGTCATGAGGGAGAGATGGTGGGGATACTGGTGGGGGAGGGAAGAGGAAGTTTAGACAGGAAGAAAGATGAGAGATAAATCGGTCATGGACTAGCATGAGAAGACAGAGGGAAATGTGTTGGCTTAGAAAACCCCTGAGAAATACACATATGGTGTCTAAACATTAGTACATGTGTATACGTGGGGACTATGTGTCAAGGAACACAGTCCAGACAGAAAAGACTTCCCTTTGAGTGGTTCATCAGAGTAGTTCAAGAGACTCCCAAAATAACAGAGGTTACTGTTGGAGCCCATTATTATCTCCCAGAACTCAAAGTTAAAACCCTACTGCTGTAGACAGGTCATAATTTGTTTTCTCTTCTGATAGCAAACTTTCTTAGGCCCATTTAATATGTGTAAGTCATACATGTAAAAGCAAATATTTGGAGATCAATGTCAGGTATCAGTGATGGCCCAAAGACTAGATGATGTTAGATTGCTGTGTTTTCCAGGCTCTAAATCTAAGTGCAACAATTACTTCTGTTGCTAGGTAGTTTAATAATCTTTAAATGATGTCAATATTTAACTTCACTAAAATGATATTGTTCACTTTATTCATTATTGGTTGCTCATAATTTTGAGCATCAATAGAGAAATGTTCCACAACAACTCTCACCATACTCTCCTTCAAAGAACAATTTGGAAATGTAATTTTAAGTTTAGGAGATAGACACTGAGATTATGGAACTGGAGTGTGGAGGACAGTGTCTTGAAGTGAGAATGAGACAGTCTTCAGAATCTAGAGAGACAATGAGGTGACAGCTAGGAATGACCTGCTTCAGGTATGCACATGCAAGTCAGCTGAGTTGGGAAGTGGTTTTTGTTTTTGTTTTTTTTTTTTGCCTGTTTGAGACTGGGTTTCCAGGTAGCCCCAGCTGTCTTGGGAAGAGTTTTAAGCATTGAAAATAAGCAATAAGTAGAAAGGCCTTCTCATAGTACAGAATGAAAAAAGAAACACAAGGAAAGACACAAATACAAATGTTAATTCTAAAATAAAGACAGTATAACAAATTTAAAAGTTGTGAACATTTAAAATAAAGTGATATACAGATAAGTAATGTCCACTTGCAAAATAAGTTATTAAGAATTAAACAGATGACTTAACAGTATGAAATAATGTAGAGTGTAAATATTTAACAGTGTGAAATAATTAAATCATTCAATTTGAAATGATTAAAGGGAAACTGTGACTCAATTTTAAAATACAAAACAGAAAAATTAAAGAGAAACTGTATAACAGTAAATAATTCTGCATGGTAACAGAGACATTTGCAAACTAAATTTGAATCATATCAGTGAAATAAGGAAATATGCAAATTATGTTTCGAATGAAATCTATTTGTCTTTATTCACAGATCCTTTCATATCAAGGAAGTGTGTTTTAAGAACTATTCCATTAAAAAAAAAGAAATCAATTTCATAGAAAAGGCAGGAAATTATTCAGTAATCATTGGCACAGATGTTTGAGTTCATTCCTAATATATTAATATTCCTAAATATAAATGCAATCATTCTCCTGTGCCCATGTATATGAGGCATTTTCCTGATTGTTAAGTGTTGTAGGAGGGCCCAGGCTTTGTGGGTGGTATCTCACCCAGGCAGGTGGTCCTGTGTTATGTGAAAAGGCAGTTTGCACAGAGATCAGGGGAGGAAGCCAGTAAGCAGCATTCCTCCAAGGTCTGTGCTCCAGGTTACTGCCCCCAGTTCCTGTCTTGACACACATTGAGGACAGACAGCATTGTCAACAAATGGTGCTGACAAAGCTGGATCTCTATCTATAGAAGAATGAAATTGAACCCTTGTCTTTTACCTGAATAAAAGTCAACTCCAAATGAATCAAAGAAATCAATAAAAAACCTGAAACTCTGAAACTGCTAGAAGAAAACATAGGCATCCCACTATAAGATATAAGTGCAGGAATGGATTTTCAAACCTGACAGCATTTGCTCAGGTATTAAGGTCAATACTCAAAACCTGGGACCTTATTAAGTTACGAAGTTTCTGTACAGCAAAAGTAACAACAAAAGAAGTGAAGGGGAAACCCACTGAATTAGAGAAAATCTTTGCCTACTACACATTACACAGATGATTAATATTCAGAATGGAGGAAGAACACAGAAAACAAGGAAATGAACGACCCAATAGAAAGACAGACTATGGATCTGAACAGAGTTCTCAAATGAAGAAATAAAACTTACCACGAAATATCATAAAATCTGTTCAGTACATTTAGTAGTTAGAGAAGAGCAGATTAAACCACTTTCATACTCCATTTTACCCCAGTCTTACTAAGTTCAAAAGAACAAAAGACACGATTTTCTGGTGAGGATGTAGAAAAAGTGGAATGCTCATTCATTCCTGTTGGGAATGAAAAATGCCCTAAATATACAGTACCACAGACTAAACAAACTTTTCCAAATTGAAGCAATAGGAGACAGAAGGAAGAATGTGACGACTGCCAGATGCAACCCAAGAGCACAGACATTAGGACTGCAGCTGTGCATCCTTGTGATGTGGCTTCATGAACTGAACTTTAATAGCATTTAGAGTCTGGCTGTTCACAGTCTATGGTCTTTGTGTCGTTTCTGGCTTCACTATCTCCCTGATATCCATGACATCTCCAGCATCCAGGGCTCTCCACTGCAGTTTCATTTCAGTTTCATATCACTCTCTCAGGACATTCTTTCAAGATGCCTCAATTTTTCATATATTGATTGGCTCCCAGGCCTTACTTTGAAATTTCAGCAGAAATCTGGTGCAAATCCATGTGTAAGTTCCCAGATGCCTGAAAACCTCTGTTTCCTTATGTTCATTAACTAACTCTGGTTGTAACAATTTTTTTGCCCTCTGGTCTGCAATGGTCCTTGAGCCCTGGGAGGGTAAGCTTACTCCTATGCAGGGACATGGACTGTATGTTCTCTTATTCTCTAAAATATAGACAGTTTTGGCCTCAGCTTACAAATCAAAGCCTATCGTTGTCGGCAGCCAAGACAGAAACTCAGGGCAGGAACCAGCAGGCAGAAACTGAAGCAGAGACCATGGAGGAAGCTTGCTGCTCTGACTTGCTCTTCCACTAATATAGGGCAATCCTACTTGACTAAGGATAGAGCTGCTCAGCTGTGTGCCTGGACTTCCTCCATAAACGATCAGATAAGAAAATGCCTCATTGACATGCCATACTCCAGTGTGATAGAGGAAATTACTCAGTTGATTTTCCTTCTTCCTAGGTGATTCTAGTTTGGGTCAAATTAACAAAAACAAAACCAAAGGAGGTATTTTCCTATTATCAAATTGCAAGTGCTGTTCTTGTACTTAGTGGAAACAAATTTTCAATAACACCTAACACTGTTCCCAACTTTAAATACTCTCCTTTTCTCTGCAAATGCCCTGTTTTAAAATTCTTTCCTCCCTGTTCTTTGTTGCTTAATCTCACTCGAATTTGATTAAGCACAGTGTCCTATGACCACGGCCCAGCATGAAATTTCTCCTATCTGGAAATCTTCTGCTCTCAATTATACAGTTCTTTAAATTTTATTTAAGACCCTTTGAAAAATATCAGGATATAGAAAAGATGTTAACAGATTCCTCTCCAGGAAGTATCATGACTAGCATCATTCCAAATTCCAGCAGAGTCAGTTCCTTTCTCAACCTCACAAGTGATCTGGTCTTTGACCTCATGCCAGGTTTTCTCTTTAGGCTACATTTAGAGCATTTCAGCTTTTTCTGCTCTACTTTTCCAGATCATTCTGAATCCCTACATCATAGCATTTCAAAGGTGTTAAAAATATGTTACAAATAGAGCAATTGTTCCGCGCACACAAAAAATTGATATTTTTCATTAGTTGCATTTGCCCTTGTGAATAAAATAGCTAAGTCATTCAGAGAATGAAACATTTATTTTATTTTTCAGATAGCTCTGCCCACTTTCCTTGACTTTATCCAGAGTTAAGCTTGCAACGAAGCAGGAGAGTCAGTTCTCCACCACATGACACAGAAAGGGACATGGCTCAACTCTCATGGGAGACAGGAAGAAGGAAGCCCAAGAGAACACTCTGACAACATTGGTCTTCAAAGGATCTGCCACCAGTGGCCTACTTTTTTCAGCTGCTTTGGAAAATACCACAATGCAGTGGTGCCTGCTTCAGGAAACACTAAACCCCAGTAGCCATTCTACCAGGAGTGAGCTGGGGTACAGTCTCAGAAATGTTCCTTTTCAGAGTTCTCTCAGAACTTTTCCTCAAGGAAAAGATGTACTATATTTACTTCTTTGAACAGTACATCCAGCATGCTGTCAGAAAGAATGACAAATTTTATTTCATCAGAGAAGAATTTCCTGTTCAGATACCTACAGACAAAGCAGAGCGTAAAAGTTAACAAACTGATGCTGTCAACCTAAGACAACATGGTGTTTACAACATAGATTATCTACCCAACATTGCTGCATTCAGCAACGATATTTCACAAAGCATACATAGACACACACAGACACACACACACACACACACACACACACACACACACACACACACACACACATACACATGCACATTGATCTGGTCTAGGGGAAACAAAGAATAAGGAGGAAAAAATCAGCAACATAGTTTAAGATTAATGCTTTTGGTTTAGCTTTACTTATAGAAATTTGATTACAAGGCCTAGTAAGATTGTTTACCTATCTGTCCTCAAGGGTAGTTAAATTTAAAAGCTGATCACACAGTAGGAAGTCACATTGATTAGACAGTGTTATTGATCTCAACATGTAATATTAACATTGATTACAGATTAGGTAAGAGAAAAGAGATTTTCACAAACTAAGCACAATTCTCTGACATTTTCAAAGTTGCCAAAATAGTATTTCCAACTTTGAAACAAACATTTCAGTCCTTCTTTTTCTTTTCAAAGCAGAACATTCATTTTCAGTTGTTTAGGATACAAGAATCAAAACTTCAATGATGAATCTCAATCTACCCTACATAAAAGTATTGAGTGATAGTTCAACCGCTATCAATAGTTGAAAAAGTTATAAGGTCACTATGAACCTTTGCCTCTTCTTATATCATATGCATTCTACTGTCCCCTCCACAAATTCTTTTAATGGGTTGCAAGTTAATAGGTTACCTCATGGCCTTTTCATATGCATTTGATTGGTTACCATTCTCTTAGACCCACAGTTTCCCACTTTGTCCTTTCACATTTCCTGCTGACGTTTTTCTGCCTTCATGATATGTCTACTCTCCTGTTACCCTCAGTCTACTATCCCCTCTTCTCTAATGTGTCCCCATGACTGTTC